GTCTAGTGTAAGCTCCATGACGTGAAGATTCTTATCATAGAGTGTCTGGTATTACTTACACGTCTGGATCTAATTCACTATTGTTTTAACGCTGGGTTCATCAGTGGGATACAAGACTGTGCAGGGTTATTCCTTATTGTATTTATTGCTGGTAATTACTGTTAGTTCTATATTTATCGTAGTTCTTAATGTAGGTTGTACATATCTCAAGAGGTAACACTGTGTCATAATTGATTTAGTCAAGCCACCTGTTTTGAGCCATGTCGATTTATCTCACTGTGTCGGTAGTTCATTATCTCACGTGTCTGGGTTATTATTTGTGTCATGAGTTCAATTATCTACTGGTCTATATCTTATCTCACCTTTCGGTAAGTTAATTATCTCTGTTTGAGCAGATGATCATTTTTCACCTGTTTGAGTTCATTATTCTTGTTGGTAGTTCTTTCTCATGTGCTATATATTATTACTATGTCGGAAGTTCATTATCTACCCGTTACTGTTTTTACATTGTCTCACCTCTGGTAGATTATACAGCAGTTCTGGTATTCATTATCACTGGTCTAGTGTAAGTTATTATCTACTGTGCTGGGTAGTTATGTGATCTCACCTGTGTCTATTCATTAATCTTTCACATGTGTGTAGATCAACTCCTGGAACTGGATATTTCATTAATCTACCTGTGTCTGGTACTATTTCACTTATCTACCTGTGTAAGAGTTATTAACTTTCTGGTAGTTCTTAATTTCACTCTAGCAATGGTAGTTACTATCTCACCTGGTTGGTAGTTCATTATCTACCGGTCTGGAGTTCATATACCTATGTGTCCTGCTATTCATTATCTATTTCTATTCTTATCTCACACGTTGTCTGAGTTCTTTAAAGACTAAATGTAGTCCGATTCTTATTAATTGTTGTAGTCATATTCATGATAGTCTTAGTCATTACTCACCATTGTCTATTCTTATCTTACTGTTTGTATTCAAATCATCAATTATTCGGAAGTAGTCTTAATCACCTATGTCGGATTCATTATCTCACGAGTCTAGTTTCATTTTCTCATGGCTGGAGTTCTTTGATCTCACCTTTACTGGTAGTTCTTATCTCATGGTGTCTAGCTAAGGCATTTATATGCAGACTGTGTCTGGTTGCTTTTTCATTACTCACTGTTTTGTATTCATTTCTCACCTGTGTTGGTGTTCAAATTTACTGTTGTAGTTATTCCTCAGCATGGATAACGGTAGCATACAATTCGTGGTAATACTATGTCAAAGCACAGCTAGTTGGTCGTGGTAGGTGTCAGTTAGTGGCACCTGTGACGTCGGTAGGTCTACCGCAGGGGTCAGTTTCTACCATGTGCTGTTTGGTATTTGTTACGACCTTGTGGAGTTGATTGACTCTGAGGTGTAGTCTCTGTTTCAATGAGCGTCATTAAGTATTAGTTAACTCGATCAGTTCAGGCAGATAAATTGATTTAACTCATTAATGTCAATTGGCTTGGAGTTTCATTATCCACCAATGAAATGTCATTAGATTGGTTGAACAACAACCCCCACGTACAGTCATAGGTCATAGACTACAACTCACTCAAGAAATCTGGCTGATATAACACCACTCATCTCCTTGAAACATCAACCAAACCTGTCAGCATATGTGCCCTAGCAACCTCAAACAGCATCCGACATCTTAATGGATCGATTCATTACCTTACACCGTATACTAGCCATATTAGTATCCACCAGTTCTGGACCTCCATCTACTACCAGCAGTTAAAAACTAAACAATGCATATTTCAACACACTGTCCAGAGCTTGAGTTCATGTCCTACAGTGCAAGGTTAAGGGAATCAACTACCCTAGATCGGAGTATAGGTAGGCATGATAGACTACAAATCTTAGGAATAAAGGTGGTCATATCACAGGATTCTAGGATTGCACATAACATAGACAGTTGTGAGCTAGACTACAGATTGACTCACTAGGATGTTAGGAGTATTTCTTCAGCCATGAGTAGTCGTAAGTTGGAAATTGCAGCGTAGTGGTAGTTGCAGGTTTCCATACTAGCTTTCTAAGCTAGAGTTCGATCTCACGGTGTCTGGTAGATTACCTATACGATCATGAGACCGGGGCAGGGTCGGACTTCGATCTCAATCACTAGGTGGAAACTAGGTGATAACCATTCACAAACACAGCAACACACGCAAAACCAACTACACACACCAACAACATATCATTCACACCACACAAATCATACAAACACTAACAGCACTACCAGACAGGTCTCCCAGACCCTCACTTAGCCACCATAAACCACGTGTTGGAAGGAAACTGAAGTTGTTACTACAAACCGCTGATGGAATAACAATAGTGGAGGTAGTCGCAAAAATCAACAGAAGCATCACCGGACATCAAGCTCTCACAGAAACCACTTACGGTATGGATAACAGATGCTCATCATTTCCAACGGTACCAAATCCTGAGGAAAGACATGAGGGAAACGGGGTGGAGAGTGCGTTGCTGATTCAAAAACGCTGAATTGATGAGCTGAGAGAGGATCCAGCGGGAGAAAGTGTATTACATAGTTGGGAACATTCACTCTGGAGGTCCCAAGGTAGTAATAGCATGATTATAACCACCACTAGAAGCAGGAGGCCAAGGCAAGAGTCACACGAGACATAGAGCGATGGTTGACACACTGGCTAGAGTGGCCGAAGAGCTCATGCTCAGGTGCAAGCTCCTGATCATGAGGTGACTTACCACAAGTGAGATCGTTGGTAGACATTGACCACATGTGTGGCTCAAGATACTTGGATGGCTAAGATGATGGGGGTACTGGAAATTCATGTACCTAACCGTAAGGGACATACAAGATGAGAGAGGATAGGATGACCAGCCAAGGCTGGACTTAGTATTCACTTTGTAGTTGCAGATATCGGTCACATCACATTGAGACCCCTTGGGGCCATGTCCATATGTGTTGTAAGCTTCGAATACACAGTAGAGCTACCAGTGAGGGAGAAGCAGAAGGCCAGGGCGAATGAAGCCATACTACAAGAAAGGGACTCACAGGAATGAGAACTACCCTGGAACGGGGTTCATGGGACATAGACTGGCAGGGTAAGCCAGTTATAATGATGGAATTGTAGCAATAAAATGCAGAGGCTAGTAAGTTGTACCCAAGGGTTACAGGATTATGAAAAGCCATGATAGCCATGGTATTACCCAAAGTGCAGGAGGCAAAAACCAAGTGTGCTAGGAATGGAAGAAATATAGAAGTCTAAAGACCCTGGAGAATAAGGTGAACGTCGTAGAGCCAAAATGAATATGCCACAGATAAGAATGGAGGTCCCAAAGACAATATAAAATGACATAGCAGCGAAAGCCAATTCTGACCCGAAATGTTGTACAGCCACACAGGAGAAACAGCAGTCAGACCAGGTATCATCTAAGGAAGGAATGAGGAGAGACAACAGAAATGACCTGAATGTATGAAGAACTCAACAAGAGATTCAAGAATGTTCACAGAGGAGACAGAAGGGACTCCAGTAATGACGGAGGGTGGGCACACACCAATGTGCTGGACACAGTGTACACAACCGGTGAGTACGTGACAGAGGCTGTCTGAGTGAGCTATATACTCAAAGGCAATGGGGCCAGTAACATCTCACCATGGGTATGAGAGAGTAGCAGAGCCTATGTGTACCCTAACAACATATTCATACATCTATCGAAACAGGAGATTGCCTTAGGCATGGATGCAGCAAATGTAGTCCCAATCTTTAAAAAAGGAGTCAGACATGAAGCATTAACACTACAGACCTAGTGTCATGACATGTTATTAGTATCAAATCTGGAGAAGATTATCTCAGGAGAAGAGTGGTGGAAAACCTGACAGTGAATGATCTCATCAACACAGCCTACATGGGTTTCAGGACGGATAGTCTGTGTCACAAACCTACTGGAGTTCTAGACTTGGTGACGCAGTAAGACAAAGAGAGAGGAGGTGGTGGGTAGTGCATTTTCATGGACTGCAAGAAGGCGTTTGCGGACAGTTTCGTAAATGGAGATTGGTGCAAAAACTGGAGGACCAATCATGGGACTAACAGGAGAAGGCACTACAATGGATCAGGGAATAGCTGGTCAGGAGACAGAGCAGTCATGGTGTACGTGGCGAGGTGTCGAGTGTGGCATCTGTAGACCATCTGGGTTCCCGCAGGGGTAAAAACAGATAGTTATGTTTAGGAAAAAATTTTTAAACAATTTACGGAAGGGAATAAACTCGGGGGGAGTTTTTTTCCGTTTTTGGATGGTTTGAAAAAAAAAAAAAACACCCCAAACCCCCAAAACCACAAAAACCCCCAAACAAAAAAAACCCCAAAACAAACCCAAAAAAAACCTGCCCAGAAATTTGGGCCCCTGGATTTTCATCCCCCCCAAAGTGCAAATCATGAAATTTGGGGGAAGGGGGCAAAGGCCGCAGGGGAGTCGTCTGGGGGGCCCAGAGACTACAAACCTCACTAAAGGGAAAAAAGGATCTTGGGTGAGTAAACACCAGGCACATCCGAAGCGACATCAACCAATAATGCTGCAGCATAGGGGGCGCCAGCAAACCTCAGAACAGCATTCCGACATTTAAAAAGGGAAATCGTTCAGGACCCTGCACCGTTACGTTGGGCCCATATTGGGTATGGGGACCATTTGGGAAACCCCACACCTACCAAGCACGTAAAAAACTAGAGAAAGTGCAAAGGTTTGCAACAAGACTGTCCCAGAGCTAAAGGTATGTCCTACGAGGAGGGGTTTAAAGGGGAAATAAACCGACGCACGGGAAGGAGAATAGGGGGGACATGAAACGCCATAAAAAATACTGGAGGAATTGAAAATGGACAAAACAGGAGTTCCAGAGATTGGCACAGAACAAGGGGACACGTTGGGAAAGTTAAGCCAGAAATCACGGGGGATTTTGGGGAAGTTTTCTTCAGCCACAGAGTAGTCAGTAAGTGGAATAGTTTGGGAAGCGATGTAGTGGAGGCAGGATCCATACATAGCTTTAAGCAGAGGTATGATAAAGCTCACGGCTCAGGGAGAGTGACCTAGTAGCGATCAGTGAAGAGGCGGGGCCAGGAGCTCGGACTCGACCCCCGCAACCTCAACTAGGTGAGTACAACTAGGTGAGTACACACACACACACGTTAGGAAGTGGAACACTCTGGAGAGTGATATAGAGACGTTACGATTAAAACACTTGGATGAGGGAGAGAGTGGACCTAGCAGCGACCAGCGAAGAGGCGGGGCCAGGAACTGTGGATCGACCACCACCTGAAACCACAAATAGCTGAGTACAAACGGGTGAGTAAATACACACACGGACTCACCACAAGAGTAAGAGCAAAAGACCCAGTGCACAGGTTGTAGGCTCCTGACGGCGACACGTGCCAGTCTTCCCTTCTTCAGGTACTGGTTGATGCCAGCCACGGGACTCACCACCAGAGCTGCTTCCTTCATCTGCAACAACAATGACAACCATGAAACAAAAATAGGGTATTCTGGAAACAAAAATAGGGTATTCTGGAAACAAAAATAGGGTATTCTGGAAGCAAAAATAGGGTATTCTGGAAGCAAAAATAGGGTATTCTGGAAACAAAAATAGGGTATTCTGGAAGCAAAAATAGGGTATTTAGAAACAAAAATTTGGGTATCCCGGAAGCAAAAAAAGGTTTTTTAGAAACAAAATAGGGTATCCTGGAAACAAAAATAGGGTATTCTGGAAACAAAAATAGGGTATTCTGGAAGCAAAAATAGGGTATTCTGGAAACAAAAATAGGGTATTCTGGAAACAAAAATAGGGTTAATTCTGGAAGCAAAAATAGGGTATTTCTGGAAAAAAAAATAGGGGATTCTGGAACAAAAATTTGGGTATTCTGGAAGCAAAAATAGGTATTCTGGGAAGCAAAAATAGGGTATCCCGGAAGCAAAAAAAGGGTATTCTAGAAACAAAAATAGGGTATCCTGGAAACAAAAATAGGGTATTCTGGAAACAAAAATAGGGTATTCTGGAAGCAAAAATAGGGTATTCTGGAAGCAAAAATAGGGTATTCTAGAAACAAAAATAGGGTATCCTGGAAACAAAAATAGGGTATTCTGGAAACAAAAGTAGGGTATTCTGGAAACAAAAATAGGGTATTCTGGAAGCAAAAATAGGGTATTCTGGAAGCAAAAATAGGGTATTCTAGAAACAAAAATAGGGTATCCCGGAAGCAAAAAAAGGGTATTCTAGAAACAAAAATAGGGTATCCTGGAAACAAAAATAGGGTATTCTGGAAACAAAAATAGGGTATTCTGGAAGCAAAAATAGGGTATTCTGGAAACAAAAATAGGGTATTCTGGAAACAAAAATAGGGTATTCTGGAAGCAAAAATAGGGTATTCTGGAAACAAAAATAGGGTATTCTGGAAACAAAAATAGGGTATTCTGGAAGCAAAAATAGGGCATTCTGGAAGCAAAAATAGGGTATCCCGGAAGCAAAAAAGGGTATTCTAGAAACAAAAATAGGGTATCCTGGAAACAAAAATAGGGTATTCTGGAAACAAAAATAGGGTATTCTGGAAGCAAAAATAGGGTATTCTGGAAGCAAAAATAGGGTATTCTAGAAACAAAAATAGGGTATCCTGGAAACAAAAATAGGGTATTCTGGAAACAAAAATAGGGTATTCTGGAAACAAAAATAGGGTATTCTGGAAGCAAAATAGGGTATTCTGGAAGCAAAAATAGGGTATACTAGAAACAAAAATAGGGTATCCTGGAAACAAAAATAGGGTATTCTGGAAAACAAAAATAGGGTATTCTAGAAACAAAAATAGGGTATTCTGGAAACAAAAATAGGGTATTCTGGAAGCAAAAATAGGGTATTCTGGAAGCAAAAATAGGGTATTCTGGAAGCAAAAATAGGGTATTCTAGAAACAAAAATAGGGTATCCTGGAAACAAAAATAGGGTATTCTGGAAACAAAAATAGGGTTTTCTGGAAACAGAAATAGGGTATTCTGGAAACAAAAATAGGGTATACTGGAAGCAAAAATAGGGTATTCTGGAAGCAAAAATAGGGTATTCTAGAAACAAAAATAGGGTATTCTGGAAGCCAAACTAGGGTATTCTGGAAACAAAAATAGGGTATTCTAGGAACAAAAATAGGGTATTCTGGAAGAAAAAATAGGGTATTCTGGAAGAAAAAATAGGGTATTCTAGGAACAAAAATGGTATCCTGGAAGGAAAAATAGGGTATTCTAGAAACAAAAATGGTATCCTGGAAGGAATAATAGGGTATTCTGGAAACAAAAATAGGGTATTCTGGAAACAAAAATAGGGTATTCTAGGAACAAAAATAGGGTATTCTGGAAGCAAAACTAGGGTATTCTGGAAACAAAAATAGGGTATTCTAGGAACAAAAATAGGGTATTCTGGAAGCAAAAATATGGTATTCTGGAAGCAAAAATAGGGTATTCTGGAAGCAAAAATAGGGTATCCTTGAAGCAAAAATAGGGTATTCTAGGAACAAAAATAGGGTATCCTGGAAACAAAAATAGGGTTTTCAGGAAACAAAAATAGGGTATTCTGGAAACAAAAATAGGGTATTCTGGAAGCAAAAATAGGGTATTCTGGAAGCAAAAATAGGGTATTCTGGAAGCAAAAATAGGTTATTCTGGAAACAAAAATAGGCTATTCTGGAAGCAAAAATAGGGTATTCTGGAAGCAAAAATAGGGTATTCTGGATGCAAAAATAGGGTATTCTGGATGCAAAAATAGGGTATTCTGGAAGCAAAAATAGGGTATTCTGGATGCAAAAATAGGGTATTCTGAAAGCAAAAAAAGGGTATTCTAGAAACAAAAAATAGGGTATCCTGGAAGCACAAATAGGGTATTCTGGAAACAAAAATAGGGTATTCTGGAAGCAAAAATAGGGTATTCTGGATGCAAAAATAGGGTATTCTGGAAGCAAAAATAGGGTATTCTGGAAGCAAAAATAGGGTATTCTGGAAGCAAAAATAGGGTATTCTGGATGCAAAAATAGGGTATTCTGGAAGCAAAAATAGGGTATTCTGGAAGCAAAAATAGGTTGAGTCGGTATGAAAATAATTCACTACGGGTTCAAAATAATGGGAGAATCGAGAAACAAGGGAAACATTAAAAGATGTGTGGGCAGCAAAGGATGGTGGAAGATGTACAAAGAATAGGAGTTGAAAAGTGGTGAGATAAAAGTAATGAGAACAAGAAGTGAAGCCCTTATGGGTTTGGAGGAGCAAGAATAGTTGGTTAATGGTTGGTTGAGAGGTTTAAATACTATCTACTACAGCAGCGTTATTAAGGGTGCATGACACCTTTACATCACCAGTCACGAATACTTTAATACCTAAAATATTGAGTATACACCTTTCAGTGTATATACACTAAGAAATATACATCTTTCAGTGTATATGCACTGAGAGATGTACATGTACCTTTCAATGTATATATCTTGGGCAACAGAGGTTGTGTTGAAGTTTCTGTGTGTGAGGACAAAGACAGGAAGAATAAGTTTTTGTTCTAAGAATAGATAACAACAATAATAATAATAATAATAATAATAATAATAATAATAATAATAATAATAATAATAATAATAATAATAATAATATTATTATTATTATTATTTATTACTAGTATTATTTATTTTATATTATTAACAAAAGCTGTGGTAGTATAGCAGCAGCAGCACCACCCCACCAGCACCACCAGCACCACCACCACCACCACCACCAGCACCACCCACCCCCCCCCCCACCCACCACACCACCACCACCACACCACCACCACTACCACCCACCACCCAACCCCACACACCCCACACCCACCACCACACACCACCACACCACCACCACACCACCACCACCACCACACCACCACCACCCCACCACCACCACCACCACCACCACCACCCCACCACCACCACCACCCACCACACCACCACACCACCACCACAACCACCACACACCACCACCACCACACCACCACCACCACCACACCACCAACCACACACCACCACCACCCCACCACCACCACCACCACCACCCCACCACCACACCACCACCACCACCACCACCACCACCACCACCACCACCACCACCATCCCACACACCACCACCACCACCACCACCACCACCACCACACCACCACCACACCACCCCACCACCACACCACCACCACACACCACCACCACCACACCACCAACCACCACCACCACCACCACCACCACCACCACCAACCACCACCACCACACCCACCACCACCACACACCCCCACCACCACCACCACCACCCACCACCACCACAACCACCACCACACCACCACCACCACCCCACCACCACCACCACCACCACCACCACCACCACCACCACCACAACCACCACCACCACCACCACCACCACCCACCACCACCACAACCACCAACCACCACCACCACCACCACCACCCACCACCACCACCACCACCACCACCACACCCACCACCACCACAACCACCACCACCCCCCACCACCACCACCACAACCACCACACCACCACCACCACCCACACCACCACCACCACCACCACCACCACCACCACCACCACAACCACCACCACCACCACCACCACCACAACCACCACCCACCACCACCACCACCACCACCACACCACCACCACCACCACCACCACCACCACCACCACCACCACCACCACCACCACCACAACCACCACCACCCACACCACCACCACCACCACCACCACCACCACCACCCACACACCACCACCACCACCACCACCTACCACCACCACACCACCACCACCACCACCACCACCACAACACCACCACCACCACCACACACCACCACACCACCACCACAACCACCACCACCACCACCACCACCACCACCACCACCACCACCACCACACCACCACACTACCACCACCACCACCACCACCACCAACACCACCACACCACCACCAACACATCATGTGGCTGGAGTCATCTTAGGTAACATAATACACTAACATTCTTGTATGACTTATCCATTATTATTCACGCAGTATGTTTATACATTACTCATCCATTAATTCGCTCTTCTAAAATTTCTAGCAATTCTAATGAAAACATTTATTTTTAATCATGCAGATTTACATGGCAATTATAATATGCAGATGCATATATATATATATATATATATATATATATATATATATAATATATTATATATATATATATATATATATTATATAAATTATATATATAATATATATAACAGCAGAAGCAGAAGCGTTAGCTGCAGCAGCAGTAACAACAAGAGCAGTGCCAGCTTCAGCAGTCGTACATGCAACCACAAATCAGAGATAATTTCATCTTACTGCCTGGATGATATCAACGATGTGCCAAGCTTGACTGCTGATGGTGAAGTCCTTGACGAGCGTCCAGCCGTGGCCGTTGACGAAGAAGCCGACGGAGGCCTCAGCAGGCGGTGGCTGCAGGGAGAACAGCAGTAGATGGGAGACCACCTGGCCGTAAGGAACACTGAAGTAGCTGATCTTCCATCCTTCTGTACGATCTGTGTGTATGAGGGGAGAGATGCAAGCGAAGTGTTTATTGGTAGAAACCAAAGAATTTGGACAGGGAGAGATGACATAGGGAAGGTTTAGTAGGTTTAAGGGATTTAAGGGAAAAGAGACGGCAATGGGATGGTTTAGAGAAGTAATTAAGAGGTTCAGGAGGGAAGAGACGGAAAGGAGAGACTTTAGGAAGGAAAACATAGGGTGTAGAAAGGGGAAATAGCAAGGGAAGAGTTTAATTAAGAAAACTACGTGACGTACTAACCTGCGTTAGTGAGAGATGTCAACATAATAATCACAGTCGCCAATGTCGTCGACAAACTCATCTTGGTGGTGGCACCAGCGTCAGAGGCTGTTCTCAAATCTTTTGGGGTCGACCGAGCGTTGCTTGTCCTCCTCGCTTCAGAGTTCTCCACTTGCACTGTTCAGGGATCGCTCCTGAACTCTTCACTTATAGCTCTTCATAATTCAGCACAATAATAATCTCGTAAAGGTACAAGGATGCCACACAAAGTCTCAGAATTCTCTATTTTGTGCAAAAAATATTCACTCTTAACGGAACTTGACTGTCACTGCTTTCTATTGCTACACTCGCTCTTCCTTGAGAAAAAAACACACACTTGTATTTCTCAGAAAACGTAAACTAGATATTTGTGTTTCCTCAAAGTTTTGGCGAACTTAAGAGCTGTTCACTTATTCTGCCCCGGTACTCTACTGAACTTTCCACCACTTGTGACTCTCTACCGCTAGTGACTTTGTATTCATTACATCGTCATCACCAGGGAAACCCAAGTGTAGTGGTACCAGCTCACAGATCGGACGTGGCTCACTCCACCGGATGTTCTATATTGCAAGCATAGACAGCCTACTCACTCCTGGGTGATGATAGTCACTTTAAAACTCTGGCATCCTATTCATTCCCGGATCTGGATATTCTAGACAATGGCAGCCAACTCAGTCCAGCTGTGAGATCATCCAAATGAATCACTCTTCACCAGCCCAAGTTTACGTGTTCTTATATGTTTTTTTCCTCTAAAATAGTTACCCCAGACGGGTCTTTCTCGTTATATATATATATATATATATATATATATATATATATATATATATATATATATATATATATATATATATATATATATATATATATATTATATATATATGTAGTTCACGATATTTTTTTAATTATAAGAAATAATTTGGCTTATTATTTCTTAAATCCATGTGGAAATTTCTGAATAATCAAATCACATTATTTCTTTATATTACTTTAATCAATATATACATTTCAGAACACCGTAAATATAATGAATACATTAAAGTCACTATTAAGAAAGATAATGAATCATTATCACCGCCCTACGACCCTTCGTGGGGATGGATGTTGATGGTGTGATGATGAAGGCTTTTGATCCAGTTGGAGCTACCTGTCTCTTTTCTATATATGATAGCTGATTGCCTCTCATTCCCTAAGGGTTTAGCGCACTGGAGATTTTACAGGCTAACTCGAGGATATCCGCAGAGGAGTGTCTACTACTGTCTCAGTGGTAGACTATCTACGACTATCTCCATGGAAGACTATTTACCAGTCACTACGGAAGACTGTCAACTATTATCACACGGTCGTGGTATGCATTACATAGAGAAGCCGTAGATACTGTTGATACTCTCGTGGTCATCTTGGTCGTTCTTTTGTGGGGTCGTTGTTGTGGGGTTGTTGTTAGTGTGGTTAGGGTCGTGTTGCTGAGGGAATCGGGGGTATTTGGTGTGATGGAAGTCGTTTTGAAGAGAACGGTAATTCTGGCGGAGGCTGAAGTCGTTTTGCTGAAGGGATGGGTAGTTTCGAAGCGGCTGGGGGCTAGAGTCGTCCTGGAGCGGGTGACGACGGTCGTTCTGGTAAAGGATGTGAGTGTTGTCTTGTAAATGGAAGCGACGGTGGTCGTGCGTGTCGCTGCTCCATTCGTCATAGTAGTGATAAGCCAGGTTGTCGTGGCTAGAATCCGTCTCTCTTACTCTGCTACCTCGAGTGTCGCCGCTGTCGTTCTGTGGTTGTATAACGACCCGTTGAAAGACGGGAGGAGGCACAGGAGGATAAACTGAAAAAAAAGAGAAAATCGATAAAATCAAAGAAAATGAAAACATTCACTTTTAGATCAAGTCTGATTCGCCAATTTCAAATATAATTTGTGGGAGACGTCTTAAATATACATGTTATTAGTTAATATTTTTGTGTTAAATACAGAAACATAATTCAACTGTCAAAATAACTTATTAAAATATTGGTATGTTGGGCGGAAAATAGAGAGAGGGAGAGAGAAAGAGAGAGAGAGGTAACACACACACACACACACACACACACACACACACACACACAACGAGTCATGGTACGTGACGAGGTGTCAAAGTGGGCACCTGTGACATACGGGGTTCCACAGGGGTCAGTCCTAGGACCTGTGCTGTTCTTGGTATATGTGAACGACATAACGGAAGGGATAGACTCAGAAGTGTCCTTGTTTGCGGACGATGTGAAGTTAATGAGAAGAATCAAATCGGATGAGGATCAGGCAGGACTACAAAGAGACCTGGACAGGCTACAAGCCTGGCCCAGCAACTGGCTCCTTGAGTTTAACCCTGCCAAATGCAAAGTCATGAAGATTGGGGAAGGGCAAAGAAGACCGCAGACACAGTATAGTTTATATGGCCAAAGTCTGCAAACCTCACTCAAGGAAAAAGATCTGGGGGTGAGTATAACACCGAGCATATCTCCTGAGGCGCACATCAATCAGATAACTGCTGCAGCATACGGGCGCCTGGCAAACCTATGGATAGCGTTCCGATACCTCAGTAAGGATTCGTTTAAGACTCTGTATACCATCTACGTCAGGCCCATACTGGAGTATGCAGCACCAGTTTGGAATCCACACCTAGTCAAGCACGTCAAGAAATTAGAGAAAGTGCAAAGGTTTGCAACAAGACTAGTCCCAGAGCTACGGGGATTGTCCTACGAAGAAAGGTTGAGGGAAATCGGCCTGAAGACACTGGAGGCCAGGAGGGTCAGGGGAGACATGATAACGACATATAAAATACTGCGCGGAATAGACGAGGTGGACAAAGACGGGATGTTCCAGAGATGGGACACAGACACAAGAGGTCACAATTGGAAGTTGAAGACTCAGATGAATCAAAGGGATGTAAGGAAGTATTTCTTCAGTCATAGAGTAGTCAAGCCGTGGAATAGCCTGGAAAGTGAAGTAGTGGAGGCAGGAACCATACATAGTTTTAAGACGAGGTATGATAAAGCTCATGGAGCAGGGAGAGAGAGGACCTAGTAGCAATCAGTGAAGAGGCGGGGCCAGGAGTTATGAATCGACCCCTGCAACCACAAATAGGTGAGTACAAATAGGTGAGTACACACACACACACACACACACACACACACACACACAACACACAAAACCAACACGACTTACTAGGTTTCTCATAGATATGGAAGTAGCTACTACCACTATGCTTGCAGAAGAGACGCAGGCTGAGGACGACCACCACGACCAGCAGCAACACACAGACGACTATCAGAGGCACCACCACGTACTGTGTACCACCGCTGCTGCTTATATCAGGTCTTACCAGGACTGAGGAACACAAGAAAATGGTTATATATCCTAAAATAAATCATCAGCAAAATTAGGGATTATCTATATCTGTCTCGAAGGCTTGACCAGTAATATCTGAGGTTACAATCGTCTGTATACAAAAATATTATCAATTGTCAGATTATATTTCAATTATCGTTAAGCATTCTTGGGAAACTTTAATTTTTTTATCTGGTGACAAAGCTGACTTAGATTTTTTTTGAGTCTTTCAGACAGCACTGTGCTGATTATGAAGACGCTGACGTGACAAACTACATACACTGAGGTGTGTTTGAATCTCATTGTATATATATAATGAGAGGTGTGAGTCATGAGAGGTGTGCATTTCGCCGTGTATATACCCCCTCCCTCCGAAAGGTGTATATTCATTAATGTATATTCAGTGAGAGGTGTGTCTCTTAGTGTATATAGACCAAGACTTTACATAGATTCCTGAGGTTAGTGGAGCAGTGAGTGTGGGTCTCCCGCGACTCTGATGCACTGACAGATTTCATAACGAATAAATTAAATTAATTTAGACACCCCTGAACAAATCTTTAATTGAAGGAAGTGATAAAAAGAAATAAGGAGCTAATGTGTTTCTTTTTTCTTCATTCCTCCATCACTTATCGTCTATTTCACCTATCATTTATTTCCTTCATTCATCGCTTATGTTTTCATTCAGCCTTTTTTAATAAGTCTGCCTCACAGAGTCGCGATAATTGTTATATCTGAGCCTCAAGATTTGTCCTTTTTACTATAGAAATCTCCCAAAATGTGAAAAGTTTTAAGGGTCAAAATACATTTAACTTTTCGGGATTTTCAGCTTTACTTCCGTTATGTTCCGTCTCTTTGTTGAGTTCTGTTGCTTATGGAGGTTCCTTTAGGTAATGATGATGCTGGTGATGGGCTTTTGATCCTTGGAATTAGAATTGCGTTCCCATTCCTATATTCCCTGGTGCTGTATGACCTCTACGGGTTTAGCGCTTCCTTGTGAATGTAACAATAAAACTGGTCTTAACTTGATTGTGTTCATGTGTAGTTAACTTCAGTGTACACACACAGACACAGACACAGACACAGACACACACACAGACACACACACACACACACACACACACACACACACACAACCTGACGACACTGGAGGACAGGAGAGATAGGGGGGACATGATAACGACATACAAAATACTGAGAGGAATTGACAAGGTGGACAAAGACAGGATGTTCCAGAGATTGGACACAGTAACAAGGGGACACAGTTGGAAGCTGAAGACACAGATGAATCACAGGGATGTTAGGAAGTATTTCTTCAGCCACAGAGTAGTCAGTAAGTGGAATAGTTTGGGAAGCGATGTAGTGGAGGCAGGATCCATACATAGCTTTAAGCAGAGGTATGATAAAGCTCACGGCTCAGGGAGAGTGACCTAGTAGCGATCAGTGAAGAGGCGGGGCCAGGAGCTCGGACTCGACCCCCGCAACCTCAACTAGGTGAGTACAACTAGGTGAGTACACACACACACACACAGACACACACACACATACACACACACACACACACACACACACACACACACACACACACACACACACACACACACACACACACACATACACACACACATACACACACACACACACACACATACACACACACACACACACACACACACACATACAAAATAAAAAATCTGTAAAGCTCGTGGAGCAAGGAGAAAGAGGACCTAGTAGCGACCAGTGAAGAAGTTAGGCCAGGAGCTGCAACACTACCCTTTGCAACCACAATTAGGTGAGTAGACTGAAGACTGGGACAGACTCACCACAGATTCGTCGGTTCGTACAGAAGGCCCAGTAGACGGGGTTGTTGCTGGAGACACTGATCGACTTGATTCTCTGATAATCAAAATTAACGAAGATTTTGGCATGCGAGATTATTATCCCGGCTGTCCTGTTATCTTTCTGTGGGAACAAGATGATAACACAGGTTATTATGATAACATATTCCTGAGTCAGGTAACTAAAGCTACCCTTCTCTTCCCTGGATTAAACCCCATTGCTTCCCATTCTCTCAGGCGATGCATGACCCGTACACTTTTAGCACTTACATTTGAATATATTATCAGAAAAAAAAATATTGGAAGGAAAGATATAAATAATTTATATAATTTATATGAAAATAGAAATAAACAGTTTATGCCAAAAAAATAAATGTAAGACAAAATAATGAAAAATATTTTATTGAAAGATGTTAGAGAAATGCGAAGAAGAAAGAAAGAATTTGAAGTAAATACAGGAAGTGAGACAGTTTAAGAAAGTTATATGTAAAGAGAGAGTAAGAAAGAAACTACGAGAAATAATACTAAACAAGAACAAACTACAATCAAATATTTTATTCCAGTTTGTTAAATAAGAAGTTAATTGTATTTTATATACCAAAATTATTGACGCTGAGGAGGAATTATGTGAGGAATTATGTGAGGAATTATGTGAGGAATTATGTGAGGAATTATGTGAGGAATTATGTGAGGAATTATGTGAGGAATTATGTGAGGAATTATGTGATGAATTATATGATGAATTATGTGAGGAATTATGTGATGAATTATGTGAGGAATTATGTGAGGAATTATGTGAGGAATTATGTGAGGAATTATGTGAGGAATTATGTGAGGAATTATGTGAGGAATTATGTGAGGAATTATGTGAGGAATTATGTGAGGAATTATGTGAGGAATTATGTGAAGAATTATGTGATGAATTATGTGAGGAATTATGTGAGGAATTATGTGAGGAATTATGTGATGAATTATGTGAGGAATTATGTGAGGAATTATGTGAGGAATTATGCGAGGAATTATGTGAGGAATTATGTGAGGAATTATGTGAGGAATTATGTGAGGAATTATGTGAGGAATTATGTGAGGAATTATGTGAGGAATTATGTGAGGAATTATGTGAGGAATTATGTGAGGAATTATGTGATGAATTATGTGAGGAATTATGTGAGGAATTATGTGATGAATTATGTGAGGAATTATGTGAGGAATTATGTGAGGAATTATGTGAGGAATTATGTGAGGAATTATGTGAGGAATTATGTGAGGAATTATGTGAGGAATTATGTGAGGAATTATGTGAGGAATTATGTGAGGAATTATGTGAGGAATTATGTGAGGAATTATGTGAGGAATTATGTGAGGAATTATGTGAGGAATTATGTGATGAATTATGTGAGGAATTATGTGAGGAATTATGTGATGAATTATGTGAGGAATTATGAGAGGAATTATGTGAGGAATTATGTGAGGAATTATGTGAGGAATTATGTGATGAATTATGTGAGGAATTATGTGAGGAATTATGTGAGGAATTATGTGAGGAATTATGTGAGGAATTATGTGAGGAATTATGTGAGGAATTATGTGAGGAATTATGTGAGGAATTATGTGAGGAATTATGTGAGGAATTATGATAAAACGTTTTAGACACCGTTCATAAAAAATATTTTTAACATAGAGGATTTTAATCACAGACGTCTGAGTCAGTGGCTGTTGAAATTACTGAAGAAGAAAGTGTTACTGAATGTTGATAAGATAAAAATCTCTGGGAACAGATGGGATAACAACTTGAGTATTTAACGAACGTATAGAAGAATAACTCTGAACTTTGAAAAATTCATTACAGGAAATTAAATTTGAAGACGAGTGGAAGATGGATTATATTCTGGTGTTTAGAAAGTTGACTGGGATGGCCATTTAAATTACAGCTCAGGTTTGTTGACAAGAGTTGAAGAAAAAGATGAAAGAAATCAATAATGAAAAAAATTTCTTTGTAAATAGAGTGATTGACTTTTGGAATTATTTATTTGAGGAGATTTATATAAATTATTATATAATATAAAATTATCGAAGACTGAACACATACACACACACACACACACACACACACACACACACACACACACAAAACACACACCACACACACACACACAACACACACACGCACACACACACCACACACAACACACACACACACACACACACACACACACACACACACACACACACACACACACACACACACACACACACACACACACACACACACACACCACACCACACACACACACACACACACACACACACACACACACACACACAGTGAAGTAGCAGAGGCAGGATCCATACACAGCTTTAAGAAGAGGTAAGATACGGGTATTGAAGCTGCAAGCGAAAAGATCGGGTCAAGAGCTGTGACTTGACTCAGGCAACCACATATATGAATATCTAGGGGAGTATACACACACAGCAGGCAAAGTGTCCCATAGCTGGGTTGGGAACGCACTCAGGTTACACACTGAGGTCCGTGGTTCGATCCCCGGTACGTGTACAAACATTTGGGAGTGTTTCCTTAAGACACCTGCTGACCCTGTAAGTAGGTACCTGGGTGTTAGAGGACTGGTGTGGGTCGCATCTTGAAACAGAATTAACCTAATTTGCCAGAAATGCTCTGCGCAAAAAGGGGATTTCTGTATAGCATGTCACTGACGTCAGCTATGGTCTGTATACGCTGTACATGTACTTGTAGAATTAATAACAACAACAATAATAATAATAATAATAATAATAATAAAAATAATAATAATAATTGTTATTATTTAATACACACAGTCACTGGTTGAGTGAGGTATCCGATGTGCCAGACATCAGGCTGAGTGATGTTGAAATGCTTTGTTACGTTATAGTTGGTTATGATGTCAAGTTTGACAGCCGTGTTGTTATGGTGAGTCCAGAAGTAAATCGTGGAATCATGTGAATCGTCATCTAGAATATGGAAGCTGGCGCTTGATCCATTTTGGGTTGTGACGATGCTACCTTCTGTAATGGAAGATGTGACGGCAAGGTTAGGGAAGTGTGGTTGAAGATACTATCTTACGGTATGTGTAGTCACAGACATGGATATAATGCACTATGTGTCTCTGGGAAGGTGGTTCACTCATGACAAGATGAATACAGGTGTTAGTTGTGACACTGAATAAGTGAGTTGTGACCACTTAATGAGTCGTAATCAGTGAGTGAGTCAGTATGAGCTTTAGTTGTGACCACTGAGTCAGTATGAGTGTAGATTGTGAACAGTGTGGGACTAAGAATGGGTATGAGGGGTGAGGGATGCTGTATGGTCCGTCCTGCATCTTGTCATTATCACTTTTAACGTTACATCTCAAGTTTGTCATGTACCTTATAACCTGCTGAAGTATCCTGTCACACTGACAATGTTGCTATAAATTACAAACTAAACTCTACTGGATCAACTGTGTCAACAACGTTGTGGAATACACGACAATGTTATCATCCGTAAGATAGCAAGGTACAGGATGTTTTCCTCTCTTAGACTGGGTACACACTTGGCTGTTTATGTGTGGGCCCTCGTGGGCCTCTAAACTCATACGGGTACATATACACCACTGAACCTGTATTAGTATTAACGGTGAAGAGATCATTTAGTATTTTTCAGTCTCCTTGTAAGCTATATATGTCAGTGATAGCATTTTTTTTTTTATTGGTTGTCTTACAACTCTCGCTCCTTTATTCATTACTAAAGAGAATATTTCGTTTAGTGTCATCAGCAGCTGGCTTTGACAAACACCAGGCAACATTCAAGGCTTATACCTACACCACTTCATTCTCAGAATGTCCAAGAGAGCTCATTGTATCATGAAAGGCAGTATATTACTGTCTGGTTCCAGAAATGTAAAAGGGAATAAATTACAAGATATGGTGGATGCTAATCCTATACACAGATTCCAGAGTTAATGTGACTGAGCCTGAGAAGTTAGAATCCACGCTGGTTACTTGCTAGTTGAAAGTCGGTGCATGGGGCTGAGAATCGACCCTTGTATCCGCAACTCAGGGAGCACTTATCAACAAGGATCGTGTATGACGTAGTTACCATCAGTAGCAGCATTGTATATACACTGAGTTGTGTATATCTCTCAATATATAGTATCACCAGTGAGAAAATAGTTTTATCCCTCTTGTATGTTAATGTATTTAATAAGATTAACTTGCGGACGATAAACTTTAAACATAAACTACAATAACCACCAGAGAGCCCATACGTGTGTGTGACTCCTCTTCCGGGCAAGATAATGACGCTAGAATCTCTGATTTATAAATTCCTCGTAAAATTGTGTTTAGTAACAGAAAACTTACACTTTTAGCGAGCTTAAACGTCACGTTAAACGTGGCAGTGAAATCCCAGACTTGATGTTATTTATGAGCAATTATCAAGTTTAACAAAAGCCATAAGAGATATATCTCGCGTTACCAACACTGTTCTTCACTCTATGTTGGTTTAAGTAAGAAAACATTGAGTTTAAACATTTATTTTCGAGATATAAAATATGCAAAATATTACAGTCTATAGAAAAATGTGCTAACATGTGATTGTATTACATATTTCGAGGTTTCGGAGCAGTTTAAGGAATTTGTTGTAGCAAAAACTTGAGATTTGTCAGAAAATGTTTGAAACTGCTCTGAAACGATAAATTATGTAAAAAAATCACGTTTTAGCATCCTTAGGAAGGAAGTTTATTCAGGTATACACAAATACAGTTACATAGAATTATCATACATAGCAGCATATGTGTAGAGAACCTGGGATAACCCAAAAAAGTCAGACAAAGTGACTTATTACCATTGTAATCCTTACATAATGACCTTAATGACCTTAATGACCCTAGTGTAATTAGGCTCTAAACCCAGTTCATCATTTACCAACTGCATATATTATTAAAACCTAAGAAGTCACATATTAATAGCAAGTAATTTATTCTTGGTTGGTTGACAGTGACAGTTGGAACAGCGAGAGGTACCAACAACACAAATAATTATAGCACCTGAAGAAGAAAATAAAGACGAAGAAAGAGACAATATAGGGGAACAAAAAAAAATAAGACAATAAGACAAAGAAGAAGAGAAAGACGGAGAGGGAAAAACTCTAAATTCTTCTAAGAAGGTTGTGGTTCAGTGAATAACATTGTTAAATGATTTACCTTGTTGAGCAGCGATGGTGTTGATGGTGAAGACCATGAATATGGCCACTGAATGAATCATGGGAGCCGTCTTATTCTTCTGCTTCATTAGCTTACTGCTGATGTTTAACTTAGGTATTGTCCGTAGCTTACTGCTGATGTTTAACTTAGGTATTGTCCGTAGCTTACTGCTGATGTTTAACTTAGGTAGTGTCCGTAGCTTACTGCTGATGTTTAACTTAGGTATTGTCCGTAGCTTACTGCTGATGTTTAACTTAGGTATTGTCCGTAGCTTACTGCTGATGTTTAACTTAGGTAGTGTCCGTAGCTTACTGCTGATGTTTAACTTAGGTATTGTCCGTAGCTTACTGCTGATGTTTAACTTAGGTAGTGTCCGTAGCTTACTGCTGATGTTTAACTTAGGTATTGTCCGTAGCTTACTGCTGATGTTTAACTTAGGTATTGTCCGTAGCTTACTGCTGATGTTTAACTTAGGTAGTGTCCGTAGCTTACTGCTGATGTTTAACTTAGGTATTATCCGTAGCTTACTGTTGATGTTTAACTTAGAGGTATTGTCCGTAGCTTACTGTTGATGTTTAACTTAGGTAGTGTCCGTAGCTTACTGCTGATGTTTAACTTAGAGGTATTGTCCGTAGCTTACTGCTGATGTTTAACTTAGAGGTATTGTCCGTAGCTTACTGTTGATGTTTAACTTAGGTATTGTCCGTAGCTTACTGTTGATGTTTAACTTAGGTATTGTCCGTAGCTTACTGCTGATGTTTAACTTAGAGGTATTGTCCGTAACTTACTGTTGATGTTTAACTTAGGTATTGTCCGTAGCTTACTGTTGATGTTTAACTTAGAGGTATTGTCCGTAGCTTACTGTTGATGTTTAACTTAGGTAGTGTCCGTAGCTTACTGCTGATGTTTAACTTAGGTAGTGTCCGTAGCTTACTGCTGATGTTTAACTTAGGTAGTGTCCGTAGCTTACTGCTGATATTTAACTTAGGTACTGTCCGTAGCTTACTACTGGTACTTAGGTACTCTCTTATAAAAGTAACTTCCAGGTGAAGAACTCTTCTTTAAGATATTAAATCCTCAGATTTCCGCTTCCAGGAGAACAGTTCTTACAAACCCCAATTCCCAAAGTGCCTTCTCTCTTTCTGACGTTGTATAATCTTCTTGAATTCGTCGTCACAAAATATCTTAACTTGCTGAAACTCGAGAATGGTTCACAAACTTGACTGACCCTCGGGCGGGCGTCAGCTCAGCTAGGAACGAGCTCTCAGCTGCTTGCTCATGATGGTCCTGCTTACTGTGTGTTGATGGGATCGTGTTCGTTGATTTACACAGGAGGTCCTCACGTCACACTGTGATAGCTAGCCATCTGGCCTCGAGAGTAAGAAAGGGATATCCGGTGTCAGTGGTGTCTGCTGATGCTGTCTCTGCTGCTGTTGCTGCTGCTGCTGCTGCTATTCTTAACACTACTACGACGACACACAACTACTACTGCTTCCACTTATGCTACGACTAATACTAGTAACTCAGTTTCTGGTATAATGAGTGTTATTTTAGCACTACTGCCACAGAGTCTGCTTCAGCTCTCACTACCAGACGTCAGTCTTGTTTCTTGGACATTTCTCTGACGTTCACTTTACCTCCTGACGTCAGTGTTGCGGCTGGGTTGTCTTCTGCAATGTTTTTGTATAACTTCATAACGGAAGTTTTCATTGTTGAAAACTTATGCATTGTAAAACGAACTTTGATATCAAGGTGCCAATTTTTGTGTCATATACACACTTATACTTATTTAAATATAAACATATCCTCCCTCATCCACGTATATACACGTTCGTGTATATACGTATATACGCTTGCCCTTGTTTTTCAATCGCTTTAGGCCTATCCCAACCCTAAATGTTCACGGAGAAATTAAGTTTCAAGAGAGAACACTTGACGTACATGGTAAAGAAAGTCCCTGCTAGCACTCAAGGTCCTCATCTTGTGCTCGATGGTTTTTGCATTATTTCGCAAATTATTTAAAGTGTTAGGTGAATCTTAGACTTGATGAGGGAAAGAAAGTTGCAGAAGTGTTGAGGTATCTGGGGGAAAAATGTATTGTTGGACTCCAGAAAAATATAAATTATTGTAAGATTATGATGGTTGATTGTTGCACTGAAGAGGAGGAGGAGGAGGACCGAAACGTCGTCATAAGCTTTTCTCTCTCGTATGTGCGGGTTATTTGTATATTGTTCCAGTCACAGTATTGTGCACTTTTGTTCTTCGTTACACAATCAGTCCATCAACTTTGAACAAGGAGCGTTGAGGTTGTCATTTCCTCAGCCTTAAGGGACTGACCACTTCAAAACTACGTTTTGAATGCTAAAGGACTGAGGAGTATGTGAATTAGGGATCCTTCAACGAGGAGCATGTGGATCAGGGGGTCCCACACTGAGGAGCATGTGGATCAGGGGGTCCCACACTGAGGAGCATGTGGATCAGAGATCCCACATTGAGGAGCATGTGACTCAGGGGTCCCACATTGAGGAGCATGTGAGTCAGGGGTCCCACATTGAGGAGCATGTGAGTCAGGGGTCCCACATTGAGGAGCATGTGAGTCAGGGGTCCCACATTGAGGAGCATGTGAGTCAGGGGTCCCACACTGAGGAGCATGTGAGTCAGGGGTCCCACACTAAGGAGCATGTGAGTCAGGGGTCCCACACTAAGGAGCATGTGAGTCAGGGGTCTCACCTTCTGGAAACCTTCCTGGCTCTGGCTGATGATGTCTGTGAAATGGGTCAGAACTAATTCCAAGCATTTTTTTTAGCACACAGCATGACCAGACATAGTCAGATTCATACCTTACGACTCCACTGACCTTCTCCCCCTACAGTGTGAACCTATGTTTACCACGTACTCTCTATACAATTAAAAAAGCTTAGTCTCCAAGTGAAACCTCTTCTCCATTAAGCTTCTCTTTCTGCTGTAGTCTCATTTTATCTCTAGATCTGTCAGAAATACACAGTAGTCCTAAGCTTCTTAAGAACTTGTCAGAAATACACAGTAGTCCTAAGCTTCTTAAGAACTTGTCAGAAATACACAGTAGTCCTAAGCTTCTTAAGAACTTGTCAGAAATACACAGTAGTCCTAAGCTTCTTAAGAACTTGTCAGAAATACACAGTAGTCCTAAGCTTCTTAAGAACTTGTCAGAAATACACAGTAGTTCTAAGCTTGTTAAGAACTTGTCAGAAATACACAGTAGTCCTAAGCTTGTTAAGAACTCTTATAGGATTCAACTACTCTGGTATATTAAAAATTATTAAGTTCCATAATATCAGGAGATTCAGCAGAATTGGTAAAAAGTAAATAATTTTATTGGAGAGAGATATATAAATCTCGCTTCAAATTATAACTAACAGCAGCACATTGGTCTAATAAAAGACAGACAAATACCAGTTATTACTCTCAGTCAGTCATTAATCAAAGCATAAAAATTATGACAACAAAGGCATTTATAACAGTTAACATAAGTTATGTTGCTGGACCTGAATGTGACCTGAGATGGGAGAAGACTGGTCGTCAGGGACACACCTAATTACCTTGTAACTTCTCACACACACATACAATAATGATTAATTGATTTAATTTATATACGACTACCTTCAAGTATTTACCTACAATAAAGATTAAATACATACACATAATGATATAAAATCGCGATAATATGATTTCAAACGTATCAAATACCGATTTTGATTTGAATCCATGGCAAGTAAGTCTCAAAACTGACAGGCCAGTGCGTTAACCACTGGGCCAGCTGACTGTAATAAGAGGCAGTTGGCCTAGTGGTTAACACACTGGCCTAGGAGCTTCATGACTCTTTTATCTTTGGTTCAAGTCCCACTCGTTCCGTGACTTGATTAATCTAAATCTGTGTACACTTAAGAATTATTAAGATAAGAAAGAGTAAATTAAGAATTATTAAGATAAGAAAGAGTAAATTAAGAATTATTAAGATAAGAAAGAGTAAATTAAGAATTATTAAGATAAGAAAGAGTAAATTAAGAATTATTAAGATAAGAAAGAGTAAATTAAGAATTATTAAGATAAGAAAGAGTAAATTAAGAATTATTAAGATAAGAAAGAGTAAATTAAGAATTATTAAGATAAGAAAGAGTAAATTAAGAATTATTAAGATAAGAAAGAGTAAATTAAGAATTATTAAGATAAGAAAGAGTAAATTAAGAATTATTAAGATAAGAAAGAGTAAATTAATAATTATTAAGATAAGAAAGAGTAAATTAAGAATTATTAAGATAAGAAAGAGTAAATTAAGAATGCCTGGTGGCAGGCACTTCAAGGCTCCTCATCCATCAGATGTGTGGAGAACACAAGCTATCTAGACATTAGTGGTCAAACTTTCCTCCAGTTGCCATTACTAAGGCTGTTACATTAGCCGTTACAGAGGCTTTTACACTAGCTGTTAGAGAGGCTGTTACACCAGCCGTTACAGAGGCTTTTACAATAGCTGTTACAGAGGCTGTTACACCAGCCGTTACAGAGGCTGTTACACTATCCGGTAAGCTACCTGTTACACTAGCCGTCACAGAGGCTGTTACACTAGCCGTTACAGAGGCTGCCATACTAGCCGTTACAGAGGCTGCCACACTAGCCGTTACAGAGGCTGTTACACTAACCATTACAGAGGCTGTTACACTAGCCGTTACAGAGGCTGTTACACCAGCACGACTCTGTTTGAACAAAACGTTGTGTTGTGCAGGTATGTACACTGACCAACCGTCCATCAGTCAGTCGTGAACATAAACACAGACCAGAAACATAAACCATAACAAACTAGCAGCGCGGGGTTAAGTACGCCAGACGATATGTTCTAGTGATTAAAGAAGACAGTCTTATATACACAGGAGGAACATGACTAGAGGTAATACGAATTAATAAAAAACTGCTGTAATATTCGTTTATTAGAAGCAAGTGTAAGAATATGTACTCACTCTTATTTCTGTTAGGATAATATTTAAGGTTGAGAGTGTGATAACTGGTTGAGTTTACTGTTGTTTGGTGCAGTTAGTGAACTGTGTAGTGAGTCACATTATAGTGTGTATGTTATGTATGTTACTGGCAAGGGTGGTCTTATAGACGAGGGTGGTCTTATAGACGAGGGTGGTCTTATAGACGAGGGTGGTCTTATAGACGGTGGTGGTCTTATAGACGAGGGTGGTCTTATAGACGAGGGTGGTCTTATAGACGAGGGTGGTCTTATAGACGAGGGTGGTCTTATAGACGAGGGTGGTCTTATAAACGAGGGTGGTCTTATAGACGAGGGTGGTCTTATAGACGAGGGTGGTCTTATAGACGAGGGTGGTCTTATAAACGAGGGTGGTCTTATAGACGAGGGTGGTCTTATAGACGGTGGTGGTCTTATAGACGAGGGTGGTCTTATAGACGAGGGTGGTCTTATAGATGAGGGTGGTCTTATAGACGAGGGTGGTCTTATAGACGAGGGTGGTCTTATAGACGAGGGTGGTCTTATAGACGAGGGTGGTCTTATAGACGAGGGTGGTCTTATAGACGAGGGTGGTCTTATAAACGAGGGTGGTCTTATAGACGAGGGTGGTCTTATAGACGGTGGTGGTCTTATAGACGAGGGTGGTCTTATAGACGAGGGTGGTCTTATAGACGAGGGTGGTCTTATAGACGAGGGTGGTCTTATAGACGAGGGTGGTCTTATAGACGAGGGTGGTCTTATAGACGAGGGTGGTCTTATAGACGAGGGTGGTCTTATAGACGAGGGTGGTCTTATAAACGAGGGTGGTCTTATAGACGAGGGTGGTCTTATAGACGGTGGTGGTCTTATAGACGAGGGTGGTCTTATAGACGAGGGTGGTCTTATAGACGAGGGTGGTCTTATAGACGAGGGTGGTCTTATAGACGAGGGTGGTCTTATAGACGAGGGTGGTCTTATAGACGAGGGTGGTCTTATAGACGAGGTGGTCTTATAGACGAGGGTGGTCTTATAGACGAGGGTGGTCTTATAAACGAGGGTGGTCTTATAGACGAGGGTGATCTTATAGACGGTGGTGGTCTTATAGACGAGGGTGGTCTTATAGACGAGGGTGGTCTTATAGACGAGGGTGGTCTTATAGACGAGGGTGGTCTTATAGACGAGGGTGGTCTTATAGACGAGGGTGGTCTTATAGACGAGGGTGGTCTTATAGACGAGGGTGGTCTTATAGACGAGGGTGGTCTTATAGACGAGGGTGGTCTTATAGACGAGGGTGGTCTTATAGACGAGGGTGGTCTTATAGACGAGGGTGGTCTTATAGACGAGGGTGGGTCTTATAGACGAGGGTGGTCTTATAGACGAGGGTGGTCTTATAGACGAGGGTGGTCTTATAGACGAGGGTGGTCTTATAGACGAGGGTGGTCTTATACACGAGGGTGGTCTTATAGACGAGGGTGGTCTTATAGACGAGGGTGGTCTTATAGACGAGGGTGGTCTTATAGACGAGGGTGGTCTTATAGACGAGGGTGGTCTTATAGACGAGGGTGGTCTTATAGACGAGGGTGGTCTTATAGACGAGGGTGGTCTTATAAACGAGGGTGGTCTTATAGACGAGGGTGGTCTTATAGACGGTGGTGGTCTTATAGACGAGGGTGGTCTTATAGACGAGGGTGGTCTTATAGACGAGGGTGGT